TTACTATGTAAATGTAAACAAACATTGCTGACAGTCCTAGGAATTTACATAGTAAACTCCATGATTTCTACCACTTTTCCTTTAGAGTCATCATTTGCTCATTTAATTCATTAGCAGAGAAGCACACTGTACTGTATGCAAGATGTGTAACACTACAAAATGAGTTTTTCTTGACTGCTATCCATTCCTATATTATTCATCATTCCACAAATAAAAACTTATTTCAGAGTCAAGGCTGAGAAGAGTAATGAAGGTTTGTTTATTCTTTATCTCCTTCAAAGTTCTTAGTTTTGTTGCTCTGTATCTTTCCTGACTATGCAAGAAATTTTTCCTTGGGAATACTGGCAATAATTTCAAAAGTTTGTGCTAATAATTAACTGTCAAAAACTTTCCTGAGGAATATTTGACAATAAAACTGAACTATAAAAGGGAAGAAAATATAAATCTACATGGCCAATGACAATAAATTTTAAATAATGTTAACTAATAATCAAATAGAAGCCCTCCAGCATATATAAGACAAAATGCATTATATATGAAAGTAGCACATGTGCAGATGGTTAAGAGGCAGTGATAATCAAGAATATTCACCCTTCTCATCTCCATTTCACATTTACAGGAAGGTTTTCTCTAAACAGTTATTGTGGAAAATAAATACTACACATTTTGGTTCTTAGATGTTTGATGTCAAAAGCAATCAGGATTATTCAACGGCAGCCAAAGATACAGAGAGAAACACTGAATCAGTAAAAAAGAAAAATAAAGGAAGTAAAATAAATAAATAAATAAATAAATAAATAGCCACGTAAAGATGGAAAATACAATAAGAGTCTGTATACTATGTGCTATATTGTTTTCTTTAAATTGTTTGATTGCTGAGGAAAGAGCTACAGCTCCTACAATACATTTGATTATCATGCTGCTGAATTAATACAACTTATATTTTTTAAAAATGCTTTGACTTCAAAGTTTAAGTCTAAGCACAGGATACTTGCGAAAAAAGTTTGTGCTTGTGTTTCTACAGAAAATGAAAAGCTATGGATTCCTTCCAAGACTAATATGGTTTGATGAAGCAACACCCCCTGAAGTAGTGGCCCAACTGATCCTATATCCAAAACACCTGAGATGATGCAGCCATATATGACTACTGCCAGATTTCTGTGTTTTATAATGATCCCTATAATATGGACATCACCTCCAACCAACAGGAAGCAGTTTGGAATGAATGATGCCCAAATTCCCAAATATTGTTTACAAATGTTTGTTTTCATTTAAATGGGGAAGGTTATAAATGGTAATGATCACAGTCAATCTCTTGTTAAAAGAAAAAAGGGGAATAGGATATAGGAATGAATACTTTGCATTGGTATGGATTTTGATTTATTGATACAAATTTAAGGTCAAATTTAAGTGATGGTCAGTTTGGCAATGATGTGTATTAACTGACTACCACATTTATGCTCTGGTACCATAACGAATAGTGTCTGTATTTTTCCTAGAGACAATCTGGTTCTTTATATCTACCAGAAAAGTTAAGGACATGCTACACTCAATATTCAATACATAGATTTTTTTTTGCTCAATACTCTACACATTCTTGATATGAATCTCCTACTACTATTCACATTCACTATTATATTTCACTACACAATCCTGAAGCTAAGGCTTCAAGGTTATAACAAGTAGTACTTGTATAGAAAGTAAGTGGATTTTCCTCAAGGAGAGGTTAAATACCTGGGAAAGTGAATTATATAAATGAAAGAAAAGAGTCCCAAAGTTAATTAGCATATGAATATCTATGGCATGGCATGCAGATATTTAGCAGCAAAGTCTGCCATGAAATAAAAATAAATTTTCAATTCTGTAGACATGTAAGGTGTTTAAAATGGGCCAATAGCAGGCTGACAGGGTGGTGTCTACAGTGAAAAAGTAGTGTCATGAACTGTACAGTAGACACTATAGATTACACATCCCTCGTAATAATAAAATCAAGAACCTAAAAGAAGAATTACCCCAGGAGCTAAGAATACAGAATCTGTCTTAAGAGTCCTAAAACTTGACAACTTCCAGTTTTTCCAGATTGCCTAAAGGTATTGGAACCTCAGTCTATTTGCCACTTTGTTGCTTCAAGGAGCTGTTCTGAAAATGCTTTCATTATACCATTTCAGGTTACATTTTTACTTAAGCCAGGTAGCTGTGTTGTCCTTATACATAAATTTGTATACTAAAAAATATCTCAGTGTGTAAGGAAATAGTCTAGGAGAGTATTTGCTGGCAAACCTTTGGGTGACATACCACCCTTACACAGGATGACCTAAGACAATAAAAAAACACAAATATTAACATTATAATTCAGTGCAGTAGCACAATTACAGTTGTGAAGCAGCAATACAACAAAGTTATGAGGGGGGGTCACAACAGCATAAGAAACTATTAATGGTTTACTGTATTCCCAAAGTTGAGAACAACTGACACAGGGCATACAATAACCACAAGATTATTTGTAATAAATATGATTGAAAATGATTAATGTCTTCAAAAACAACTAATGGTAATTTAACAGCTTTAACTTGCATGATTTGATCTCCCTGAAGTGACTGGTGGAGACAGGTGCTGAGAGAACATGCCAGATACTAAATGAAGATTGAAATTCTAAATACTCATCCTTACATAGAAATTTGAAAGTAATATTACATGAACCAAACAGATTATATGTAAAAATATATATGTAGGTAAATGTATGCAGTATCAATTAGTGAAAAGATAGGTCTTGTATTTGAAAGACAGTGTGAATTGGTATTTGGAAGTGTTTGGGTGGAAAGAAAAAGGAAAATGTAATAAAATCATAATCTAAAAAATGTATAATATAAAAGAGATAAGTTATTTTAGTAGAAATGTTCTTTCAATGGGAGTATGGACCAGTATCTTCCCTATCCAATCTCAAATATTACAGGTTGTACAGAATGAGGAGTAAATACATTTTTTTCTCCCACAGTGAGAATAGAATTGTAGGTGATGGAATTATGGAATTATGAATAATGAGGATGCAAATGTTACAGCTCTCTTCTCTCTGAGAGATGGCCATTGGGTACCAGGCAGGAGAGTATCAGCACAAGCCCCAATGCCTTAATCTGAAGTTATCTCTATTTGAAGACTGGAAGAAAATGAAAAATTAGATTTCTCCATTGAACTATCACTGCATATATAAGCTTCTATTAAAGGCCGGGTTTGCCATTAGATGTCCACACAAAAAGAACTCAATGGCTTTTTTAGTTATTCTCTGTTTCACAGTGCTTCATTTTGGTTTCATATTTAACTTTACAGTTCCCTAATCTATATATCATAGTTTCTGATTTTGTGTTGTGAGAATTTTGTGAGTGTGAATTAGTGTGTATCACATCAATAAGATTCTTGGGTGTTTTTTGGCTATTTTTCTTCTGGTTGTATATTTGTGTCTTTTATCATATTTGGGTTTTTATCATGGATTATCATTGAAATTATTGTTGTTGTTAGTAGCTATAATAGTAATAAAAGAAGTAGTAGCTCCTCTCTGGGTGGGGGTATGGATAGGCACATGCAGAGTTGATAAGGGAGGGCACTCGTGTTCATGGAGGTGACAGATAGAGGATAAACTCTACTATTGTTTCTCAGCTGTCTTTACTTCTTAAAAATATTTTATTCAATATAAAGATAGAAATATTGTGGTTTGAACAGTGTCATTCTCCATATCATAACCTAAGACCTCCTTCCCAACTACCACTATATTACGTTAAAACTGAGAATTATCTTCTTGTGTGTATGTATGTGTGCATGCATGTGCTGAGTGTGTGTGTGTGTGTGTGTGTGTGTGTGTGTTTGCATGTGTGTGTGTACATGAAATTCTGGTATAAGGTGTGCATTTAGGTAACATACAGAAGACAAATCTTATTAAATTTTTCTGGTGCCTTCATTTCTCCTTTAAAAGGTTTTATTCAATATATATATATATATATATATATATATATATATGGCATAATTTTTGAAAACCAATTTCCATACCCTTATCTAAAATCCCTCGCCTAGCCAAACTAACAATAGTCTATGCCAACTTTGAGGACTCACTTTGTGTTTGTGTTTGTGCATGTGGGCATGTATGAGCATATACACATACAGGTGTTTGTGTGTATGATCATGTGAGCATGCCTGCATGTCTGTATGTATATGTGGGGACATATCCCCTGCTTTTATTTTTAAGAGTATATTTATAACTACATGTCTCCCTCACATCTCCTCTTTCAAATACTCATAAATACCACTATATACTCTCCTTCAAAGATGAACCCATTTCATAATAATCATTATTGGATGCATGTATTTATAGGAATACAGATATTTTCTTAAATATACCCTGATACATCTGCTAATGCTACCTGCATGTATTAATCAAAGCAGACATTTGGGTAGTAGACAACAAATTGGTGTCCACATCTCAAAGAATGACATCTTCCTTTTCTAGTTTTCCTCAGTTACACATAGAACATTTTGTAGTGTTGAGTCAATGTCGCCTTTTATTTATCCAATTTGGCATGCTTATTTGTATAACCTTTATTCAGATGATTTTTGCCAGTCATTTTGCTGAGACTCTATTGAAGAGTCTGCTGAAGGATTCAGCAGGTTTCTTTACATATAATTACATATATGCCACTACAAAAGTCAATAAAAAATATCATGGGGAAGTTTTTCTGCAACTCTAGAAATTTCAGTGTTAAATAATTTTGATAATCATTACCACAGACACCTAAAATTATTGCTACATGACTCCATCAGGATCCAGCTTTGGGGATGCTAGAGTGTGCTCTGGATTATTGGTCTAAAATGTGCCCAATTATACTTTGGGCCTGAATACCTATAAAGAATACTAACTGAAATTTGTATTTCTTTTCTTTTATCCAATATAGCTGTTATATAGGAAGCCTTTGCCAAAATGTCAGCCTCACCCTGCTTTCTGCTACAGTTCTTACCTTACACCAGAAGTATCTCTCAGAGCTGAATCTCTTCATGAGTGACATTTCTCTGTAAACACTGAAGGAGCCAGGATTCCTCTGCAGCGGCTTGCTGATACTTCTGTTACTGATGTAGCATTCCCAGGTAGAAATCAGTCATACAGGTGTCAAGCATACCTGCCACCAAGGAGAAAAAGACTGTTAACCTGTGATTTCTCAAATTATTGTGATTGCCCAGGTGACCTCATCTTGGTGATAACCTTCCCCACACTCTCTATTATCTATGCCTCTTTAAGGAAACCTCCTACTCTCTTACAAAGACAAACCGAAGGACAAAAGAAAACCACTTTTGAATTGTTTGCAAGTGGAGTCCAAGAAACTAACAAAGGAGTACAGTCTATTACCATCACACTTGGTTGATTCCAATAAGTGACAGGTAAATCCCCACTGCAGAAATCACTGCATTGATTTGGATCAAGGAGAATTTGAACTTGAATACATCAAACTTTATTACTGAGAACCAGCTTTCAGAGACCAGGAAGGGAGGAAAAGTGATAAATTTTCCAGCCTAGTTATAATGCCATGTCCAGCATGGCAAGATATCATTAAAGATAAACTTGTGGTTCTTATAGCTTATTCAAAACTAATAGTTACTTGATGGCATCCAAGTCTTGCCTAACAAAAAAAATCATGCTTCATGCAAAGGTCATGTGAGGATGACCCCATATAACTTAGAGTAAATTAACACTACTTCCATAAACCATTATAATTCCTAACTGTATTGCAAACTCTATCCTTATACACAAAAATATTATTGACCCAAGAACACTAATGGGATTCAGTCAGTAGATTCTGTTTATATATGATTCTCTCTCTCTCTCTCTCTCTCTCTCTCTTTCTGTGTGTGTGTGTGTGTATGTATGTTCATGGGTTCTGTGTATAATCAACAATAATAATGAAGAGGAATGAGGAATACACAGAAAGGGTGTTAGGAACAGAGATGTGGAAATTATACATACACTAGTCTTCAATGAAGTAGTTAATTTTTTTACAATAAAAAACAAGAAGAGGTCTTAGAAAGGATGGTTTCAGCAGAAGAGTAGGACGAGATGAAGAACTGGAATGAAATGAAGAAAACTTTTTGTACAAATGTATGAAAATTATATTATTAATAAAGATTAAATGCAAGATGATGAAAGACTCAACAGATCAGGTATGCAGTTGGAATTTTATGAAATTAAATGGAATGTAATACCTATAATCCTAAAAGGTAGGGAAATTTCCCAATAGTTACAAAGGAATATATTCTAGTGGATGTCACTTCTTAGTACATTTACTGGAGACTGTGCTCATGGAAATTACTGGAGAAAATGAAGGGCAGGTGTTTCTGTGGCAAGAAATATAAACTACATATAGGTGGAAAAAACATCATGGGATTTCTACAGAAATCTTACAATATGTACAAAAAGTATGGAGTTAAAACTATGGTGAGCAATAAAGCTAATGCACAAAAACAATTATTTAATTGAGTTTTACACACATGAAAGAAATAGTGAAATATAAAAGGAAGAAAGACCCACAAAGTACAATACCACCAGGTAGGTGTAGTGTCCGTGTCTTCAGTGCAATATTCTCAGGAGAAGGCGGAGAAGATCGTCCTCAGTGGCTGTGTCAGAGATCATCATGAGCCGAGTGATGAGGTCATGTGTCAACATCAGAGACGTAAAAAGAACATGTTTAAGAACAAATAGTAATGTGCACACTCATATAGGGATTTTAGACAGAGAACATCAGTTTACCAGCCTACAATACACATGCCCAGAGATGCTACAAAATAAAGAGGACCCTACGGGAGACATTCATGGACCCCTGGAGAAGGGTAAATAGAGAAGTTCTCCCTAGTTAATTGGGAGGATGGCAGGAGGGGAGAGGGAGTTAGGAGAAAGAGAAGCAGAGAAGAGGAGGGAATAGGAGGTCATGAGGGACTTGGAAGATTTGGTCAGGGAAAGAATAGAGGAGAGCTAAAAAAGAAACAACATAATTGAGGGAGAAATTATAGGTTTGAAGAGAAATATGTCCGGAGATCTACAAGGATGATCCAAACTAACAATCTAAGAAATAGTGGAGTGGCTTTATGAAATGCCCTTCTCCAATATTGAGATTGATGAGTACCTTATATGCCCTTCTAGAGCCTTCTTCCAGTAGCTTATGGAAACAAAAGCAGACACCCACAGCTAAACACTGAGCTGATCTCCTGGAATACAGTTTCAGTCAATACCACATGAAAATAGACTTTTCATTCACATAACACCTATATTTGATTATTTATTTATTTATATATTTGGGAGTGGTTTGTACATATGTATTTGTGTACAAGTAATGAAGAGGAAGTCATGAATTTCAAAGTGAACAATGATTATAGGGCAGGATTAGGAGACAAGAAATGAAAGGGAGAAATTATGAAATTATGTTAAAACTTCAAAATTTTTAAACAAATATCCATGAATAAACTGAATTGTAACATGGTAAGATAAAGGAAAAAAGAGTTCTAAGGTGGTGTGTTATGTTCCTGAGAAGGAAAATATCATTCAGCAGTATGTGATATAGTGGATAATCATCGAGGCAACACTAGCATTCGCTTTTAGCATTAGCATCAAATTAGCATCTCTGATATGAGGTAATTTATGTACAATGAAGGCAGCTTCCACTAATTAAAATCTAATTCAAAAAATATTGTGGTATTAATTTGGTTTCTTACAAATCAAGGTGGTAGAGGGAAAGCCAGTTGCACAGTTGTCTATCATCCTAATTTTAAACTTCATTCAGACATGGCTATGTAAATGTAAAGAAACATTGCTGACAGCCCTAGGAATTTACAGAGTAAACTCCATGATTTCCAATAATTTTACCATTTTTCCTCAGTTGTCATCATTTTGCCCATTTCATTCAGTACCAGAAGAGCACATTGTACTGAATGCAAGATGTGTAACAGTTTTTCTACAAAATCAGTTCTTTGAGGCTCAAATCCATTCTTGTATTATTCCTCATCCCACAAAAAATTATTTCATTACTCTCCCCATTCAATTCTGGGGAAGTAATGAAAGGTCATCTATTCTATATCTCATTCCAAGTTCATTGATTTGTTGCTCTGTTTCATTTCCTGACAACGCAGAAAATTTTCCCATGGAAACACTAGCAATAATTTTAAAAGTATGTGCTAATACATAACTTTCAAATTCTTTCTAGAGGACTATTTGATAATAAAACAGTTAAAACGGTAAAAGGTAAGAAAATTATAAATCCACATGGCTAATGACAATAAATGGGAAATAATATTAATTAATAATCAAAAGAAAACACTCCAGCATGTAGAAGATATGATACATTATACATGAAAGTACCACATGTACAGATTGCTAAGGGACAATGATAATCAAGAATATTCACCCTTCTCATCTCCATTCCCATGTCCAGGAAGGTTTCCTCTAGACAGTTATTGTGGAAAATAAATACTACGTATTTCTATTTCTTAGATGTATGATGCCAAATGCAAACAAGATTTTTAGTTTTTCTGACAGGGCATAACTTTGTGTAAAGTAAAGCAGTCAGTAATCAAAAAGTTACTTAGATCTAATAATGTGCAAATTCCAGAATATAACATATAACAAAATATAAGATCCAATCAAATTATTTACACACGAGCAATTGCAATACAAAATGAAATGGGGAAACAAGTGGTTTTACAATACCATAAGCTCAGGGAATGGTCTCCTTCAGTGTCAGCTTCTCGGGATGCAGTGAGGAAGCATGGCTTTAGTACTTGAGTTGCCATCACATTCAGCAAAATGGTCAGAATCTGTGTCAGAAATAAAGGACAAAAATTAAGGCACAACACAGAAATACACGAATGTGAGTATTCTTCATGGTGAAAATATATTTAAGATTATTAATAACATGCATTTATATTTTTAAATGTTGCAACTCTGATTTTAAGAAGACAATAATTTTCAAAGATATTCAGAGATTAAAAGTATCCCATCCATAGATAAATAATATTGATATTTTCTCTATTGAAAAGCTGATTTAAACATCATAACATGGAGATGAAAGTTTTCTTGCCCCACAAAATCCCAGTGCCATTCTCAGCCCCAAATAAACACACAGATGCTATATTAATTGTGAAACTGTGGACCAATCCCGAGGTCAACTTATTGGCTAGTTCTGTCTTAATTATTATCCCAATTATTAGCCCATTTCTGTCAATCTATGCATTGCCCCGAGGCTGTGGCTTACATGGTAATGCCCTATCGTGTTGTTACTCCTCCACAAAGTCCATTTAAATTTCCCATATACTAATACATACCTAATATGAAAAATTAGCAAAGACAAAACATTATGAATTAGTTTATGTAGTACTAAAAATAAATCTAAGTTGGAGGCAGAAATGACTAAAAGAAGAGGAAATATTGCATTTAACACAAAATATGCATTTTGTAAAATGTGTTATAAACTCAAACAGGTATGATGACACAAACACAGGACTTTGCAGGAACAATACTTGTCAATCAGGTAAGGTGTGGGAGGAACCTAAGAAGACATGGTAGTCTGCATACAAGCCCCATTTCCTACAGGTTATCACCACCTGTGTCTTCAAAAACTTCTCTATTGCATAAATTTCCTTGTATAATATATCTTATTGATCACAGATAATAACAAAGAGGTAAGATATAAAACAGAAATCACCACACAATAACAGACATAAGAATGCAATCAAAATCCACAACAGGTCCTGATATAATTATGTAAAAAAGATAGTTAAATTAAAAAAGATGAATATGAGAACCATATAACTAACCCTCTGAATAGTCATTTCTTCAAAGAAATTCTATGAGGATTCAAGAAGTACATTTACAAAATAAATGAAGTGAAATGCTGAGGATGATCAAAAATGACAAGAAATCATTTTTTATGTTCACTAGAAATAATCTAATACATATGAATTATGAGCATACTTTACAGGGAATTATACACAGTTTGGAAGATAATCAGCCCACAAGTGGCCATGACTACCTAAGAACATCAGAGACAGTCAGGAGAAACTCTTTCAAAGTGTTAATAATGGAGTCCAGAAGACTACTAAGAGCATAGTACTAAGAGCATTCTACTGCTCATGTTTGCTTCCAAGAAATGGATTTGGCCTTAATGCTGAAACACTGAGTTTTTGTTAAGGATCTATAGACATTTGAACAGGAACTACATAAAATCCAGACACCTGTAGATTAGCTTTCAGTGACAAGGAGGGCATTAGGAAAGCTGTTAAGAAAGAGAAGTATTCATTTCAGTGAGTGCTCACCTGTACATGCAAATTTGATTTCATCTTTAGTAAGTAGTAAAGTTATATGCTTGCCAAAAAAATAAGTGACACACTGGAAGACAAATATCACACAATTTCAATTTTATGTGTAACCTAGAAATGATGAACTGATGGGAACAGAGAGCAGAGTTGTGGCTATTAGGCTTCAATGTGGGACTTTTAACAATGGGGAAACGATTGGTTTAAGGATGTAAAACTGCAGTTGGACAAGAGGCATGGACTCTGTGATGACTTGAGGTCTACTGAGAGCCTGATAAATATGTTTATATATATATATATATATATGGATGTGTACATATGTAAAAATAATTAATGAGAAGGTAATGAATGTGACAGTGGACTGGTGAGTGCAAAGTAAGAGTTTGAGAGATAGTTATGTGGAATTTACATAAATGCTCATTTCTTGCATAAAATTCTCATATTTTATATAATAAAGATAAGAATATGGGAAAGGGACTTAGAAAGTACAGGTTCAGAAGAACAGGAGAATAAAAGGAATTAGGAATAAAATAACCAAAATGTATATGAATGTAAGAACACATATTTATTAAGAAAGATTAATCCAAGAAGAAGAAAAGACTCAACAAAGCAGGTCATCTATAGAACTATAATGTAATGGATTTACATAGAAGGAAATTCCTAGAATCCTTAAAGCTTCAATACTTTCTCAAATCCTGAAAGGAAAAGTACAGGCAAATGCCACTTCAGTAAACCAGACCTTGAATTCTTACCCACTTAAAATATTCCGTAAGAAAGGAAACCTTCAGGAAATAAAAGTTTACATAGGATGATGGTTCTCAACTTTAGGTCTCAATCCTTTGAGGGACACACCACTCTTCACAAGGGTCAGCAAAGACTATCAGAAAACACAGATATTGTCATTACAAATCATTGCAGTATCAAATTGCAGTTATGAAAGTTAAAAACAAATAATTTTATTATTGGGTTATCACTACAACACAAGAAACTGTATTAAAAATTTGCCAAATATGGGAAGTTGAGAACAACTGATATAACAGATCCAACAGTCACAGGATGATGATTTGTAGTAAGTATGATTGAAAATGATTTGTGATTTAATAGAGCAACTCAAAGTAATCTAACTGCATTAACTTATATGACTTATCTCACTGAAGTCCCTGGTGAAGACAGGTACTAATGAGCATATGCTATGTACTAAATGAAGATTACAAGTGACTTTTAACAATGGGGAAACGATTGGTTTAAGGATGTAAAACTGCAGTTGGACAAGAGGCATGGACTCTGTGATGACTTGAGGTCTACTGAGAGCCTGATAAATATGTTTCATAACAATATGCTATATTTTAAAAGTTGTGAGATAGTATACTTTAAGTGTTGTCAAAACAAAAATGATGAATATGTGTGATATAACATGCTAATTGGTTTAATTTCGCCATGCTATTGTGAACATACTGTATTATGTATCAAAATTGTGCATGACTTTATTTATGAGCTAAATAAATGAATGGAAAAAAAGAAAGAGAGGTAATCAATTGTCCAATTTTGTTATAACTTTGAATGACAATGACCAGCATGGCTAGATTTCTCTAAAGGTGCACTACTGGCTCATATATCTTATCAATAATTGATATCTCTATAACTGAACCCACATCCTTTTTTAAAAGTGGTAAACATTTCAAACCAGCCAACATCACAGGGCTAGTGAATCCATGGAACATAGAGGCCCTTACCAGGAATTTCATCAAACAATATAATGTCTAACTACATTACCATGTTTGTCATCATATCCACAGAATATTGTAGAGCTAGGACCATCAAATGGATTCAACAGGTTATGTT